CCCTCATCATAGGGTTTTGGCTAGATTTTTGTATCAGGCATGAGTTTCTCCTAAGGAGCAAGACTCAAATCCAATTAATAAAAAATGGTTGATTACCCTATAACATTCATACCACTCACTATTGTACCACAGGCTTATCTTGCCAGGCTGATCATCACTAGCTCTCAACCTTCACAGCTGGTAAAACTTCTCATACTATGAAAACTAGCCAGCAAGTAGGACACTTCCAGGACAGTACCAGCTTCATTTCTCCAAACTCTGTGATAAAGTGTATGATGTGTTCAGCAGTAGGGCCTTACTGTCAAGTTCTGATAGGCAACCTAGTGCAAAGGCAACAGGTTACATTGTTTTGAGGGTCTTCGGAACCTGCCCCCCCACCAATAGCTTGATGTGGTAATCTACACGGGGCCCTGGGCTTTTTATTTGGCAACCTGCAGCTTCTGGGAGGTACAGCATCCCCCCATGTTGGAGAACCCCATATACTCTCCCCACCAGGCATGTGTGTGTGTGTGTGTGTGTGTGTGTGTGTGTGTGTGTCTATTTTAAAGGAGGCTTACAAAAGAGTAGGTTTCCCTAGGGCTTTCCCACACATCCTGATTGTTAGTTATCTCTGTCTGCTTTGAGGGTGGTGGTGGTGATCCATTCAGGGTTAATATTGGATCATTAGTAGGGTTTCGTCTACTGTTTTCCCTGCCCTGTGTGCTGTTGTGACACTAGGTTTTTGGGACAGATTTTTGCTTGTATGTAGGTGATAAACTGTGCAGTAGAGTGTGGCGAGCTGTGCATGAAACCGCCCATTGTCTTTTGAGAACATTAAGCATGAGGATGTCTCAGACAGGCCCGTATTGTTAGCACTTTGGCCCTCCTCTCGGGCTGTTTCTGGGGTCACTTGTCTTGGGCGAGATGAACTCCCTTCAGGGTCCCTTTTGTGCAGCTTTCCTAGCAAGACCTGGTCTTCATCTTTTGATGTCACCGTGTAGCTAGAGTTTTCCTGCCTGGCCCACAATCAAGACAAATCTCTCTCACCTGCCAGTCCCACAGCCGCTCAGACCCGACCAAGTAAACACAGAGACTTATATTGGTTACAAACTGTATGGCTGTGGCAGGCTTCTTGCTAACTGTTCTTACAGCTTAAATTAATCTATTTCCATTAATCTGTACCTTGCCACGTGGCTCGTGGCTTACCGGCATCTTCACATGTCATCGTGGCGGCTGGCAGTGTCTCTCTGACTCAGCCTTCCACTTCCCAGCTCTATTCTCCTCCTTGTCCTGCCTATACTTCCTGCCTGGCCACGGGCCAATCAGTGATTTATTTATTGACCAATCAGCAACACATTTGACATACAGACCATCCCATAGTACTTCCCCTTTTTTTGGCCCCACATTGGGCGCCAAATGTAGATGTAACCAACCGTCTTATTAAATAAGAAACACAGAGCCAATTTAGAGAAGAAAGCCAAGAGGTCAGAGCTAAGAGCCTCACCCTTCCTGCTTCAGCGATCCTCTTCAGTCAAGAGAGCTCTCCGAAAGGGACCTACTTCCTGTGTGTATGTCTTTATATAGTCTAGCTGTTCTGCCTTCTCATTGGTTGTAAACTCAAACACGTGACTGCCTCGTCACTGCCTGTATGTGCCGCCCTCCAGGTCCTTAAAGGCGTGTGCCACCGCCGACACGCACTTGCTATGGCTCTAATAGCTCTGACCCCCAGGCAACTTTATTTATTAACATACAATTAAAATCACATTTCAGTACAAGTAAAATACCACCACATCACCGGGTATAGAATTTGGTTATTTTTTATTTTTTCCTTTCAGTACTCTCGAGCATCATCCCAGTGTCTCCCTGCCTCCACTGCTTGGATGAAAGTCCAAGCCTCATTCTTATCGCCATTCTACTGTAGGTGATGGGTCATTTTCTCTGGCTGCTTTGAAAATTTTCTCTTTATTGTGGCTTTTTGGCAGCTTCACCAGAATGTTCCTAGATTTTCTTTTCTTTGTATTATCCTGTTCTGAGGATCGGACTCAGGGTCTTACATGTGCTAAGCACACATTCTTCCACTGAGCCATACACTGGCCTGGGAATTTATTTACTCTTCTTTTTTTTTTTTTTTTTTTTTTTTTTTTTGTCAGTAAACTGTCTTATTGAGGTTTTCCAGTTTATGTGCATGACAATTTATTTTACTTACACGGTACCCATTTTTGAAACCAGCCTTTTAAAGGGGTAAGCACAAATTTAAAAAAATCAGAAGTACTTGAAACCAAGTTTGTAAAGTATCTTGTTACAGAGTTGGAGATATGGCTCAGTGTTTAAGAACACATACTGCTCTTGCAAAGGACTTAGTTCCCAGCAACTGCATTGGGTGGCTCACAACCACCTGTGCCTCCAGGTCCTGGGAGATCTGACACCTCTGGCCACTTGCACACATGTGCACATACACACCTGCACATGATTAAAAATAATAAAAATATTTTAAAATATTTCTTTGTCTCTTAAAATTAGGCACCACCCCAACCCCCACAGTCTCCCAGTGTCCTGGAGCTCACCAATTTGGCTAGCCTGGCTGGTCAGCAATTCCAGGGATCTTCTTGTTTTCACTCCCCAGCACTGGACATTAACTGCAGGACATCACACTCAGCTTTTTTACATTGGTTCTGGGGATCAAGCTCAGGTCTTCGTGTCTGTGTGACAAGCATTTTACCTACTGAACTATCTCTTCAGTCCTGCAAACCTGGCAAACAAAACAACTTCTTCTTCTTCTTCTTCTTCTTCTTCTTCTTCTTCTTCTTCTTCTTCTTCTTCTTCTTCTCTCCTCCTCCTCCTCCTCCTCCTCCTCCTCCTCCTCCTCCTCTTCCTTTTTCTTTTGGCAAGCTTATTCTTAAATTATTTAAAATTTATATTTTTTAACTTTATTTTTGGATTGTTTATTGCTGATACAGTTGAAGCTAGTGGCTCAGGGATGGAATACTTGCCCAGCACAGGCAAGACCCTGGATTTGATCCCAAGCACAGAAAAATGAACATCCCCCAAATCAGTGTCAAAATACAGCTGATTCTTGCACATTAGCTTTATACCTTATAAATGTGCTGCTTCTAATGGATTTTCAGTGAACCTTAGGGTTTTCTGCGTAGAAGATCCCATCAGATGCAAATTAGACAGTTTTACTTTGTTCTTCCCAATCTGGATGTTTAAACTTCATTTTCTTGTCTAATTGCCCTGGCTAGTATCTCTAAGACAGTACTGAATGTAAGTGGTGACAGCCCCATTGTTGTTTGTGATCTTTAGAACAGGGAGGGAAGCATCCAGTCTTTCACAATTAAATACAAAGTTAGCTGTGGGATCTTTGAAAACTGTTTTGTAGCCGGGTGACGGTGGCGCACGCCTTTAATCCCAGCATTCGGGAGGCAGAACCAGGCAGATCTCTGTGAGTTCGAGGCCAGCCCGTTCTACAGAACAAGATCCAGGACAGGCACCAAAACTACACAGAGAAACCCTGTCTCGAAAAACCAAAAAATAAAAATAAAAAAGTAAATCGTTTTGTTTGTTGTGTTGGTTCTCACACATGCTCAGCAGGCCATGCCAATGAATTATACCTCCAGCCCCTAGTAGTTGGTTTTATGTAGAAGCTGTTTCTCAGGCTGAAGAAGTTTCCTTCTTTTCCTAGTTATGTTGAGTGTGTTTATTGTGAGGCACTGCTGGATTCTGTCAAATGACTTTTCTGTAGCTCTTGAGATGACTGTGTATTTTTGCCCTTCTATTAATATGACATATTGCATTAATGGAGTCTCAGATGCCGCTTGTTTTTTGGTTGGTTTGTTTGTTTGTTTGTTTTTCCTGTTAATTCAACTTCCCATTTTCTTGTTCTTTTAGCATTCAAAGCCCCCTGGAGGAACCCATTAAATGACATCTACAATCGATGTGATTCAGGGTTTCGATGTTCGTGGTGATTCTTTATGAGAACTTCCATCTCCGGGGCTTTGTATCTCATCAGAAGTCCTGGTGATGGTTATAGGACTTTTCTGTTTGCTATTATTGAGTAGTGCGAGTGTAAAACAAATGTTTAGATGTACTTACATAACCCAACTGTGTAAGTATATCGAATTATTTTAGTGGTATATGTGATACAGCTTCATAGTGTGGGTACGATTATTTTGGAGGCAGAGAGTTTTAACTATATTATTTATATGCTTTTTAGGGATGATAAACATATTATGAAGAGTAAAGTATGTAGTTCATATTTCTGGCAATCGTAATTGCTATCGATGTATTTTGTCTTCGAAAATTTGTGTACCTTCAAATTTCTTCCTTCACCATAATGAGATTTGTTTCATAGTGTGCATTTCCATCATGTTCCTATTTCATAATGTACATTCACATTAATTGCAATCTCCCTCTCTTGGATGCATTTTTCTTTTCCATGTGGCTCCTTCTCTTGGCTGTATTGTCACTTCCATTGATGATGTATCTGCTAATTAATGGTTCTCCTCTGCATGCCTGCCCTCTTTTTGTTCTTGATTTTGCCGTTCAGCTCTATTTTTTATTTCAACTGCAATTACTGGGACTTCTCCTCTACTCTCATTGGTCTGTGACCTTCTGTGACTTATTTGTAATATTTACATGTTTATGAAATTGACAATCCATGCTCTGCCGTCAGCGACCATCAAGTATGTAAGCACTGCTTTAAAAAATGGTTTCAAAAACAGTTATCTCTTGGGGTTAATGTCTGCAGCAGCTTTCTAGATTTGCAGCAAGGTCTTGGATTGTTAGAACTTGTCACTTGTAGAGATGCATGAAATCTTAGTTATTCTTTACCACGGCGAGCTGCACCTAATAGGAATTTAGCATCCTGGCTGTTATTAAGTATATGCCACTTTTAGCCCGTTCATGTTTCATATTGTGTAGCCATAAAGGTTTACACAAGAAACCACATTCATTGTCTAATCGTTCAGATTTTCTTCTCTCCTCTCACCGTCTTCTGTTGATCACTTTTTCTTTTCCTTTAGATGCTGAAGACTTCCTGGCGGAGGGCTTGCGGAATGAGAACCTCAGTGCCAGTGCTCAGGACCAGAGAGACCACATTCTCCGGGGCTTCCAGCAGATCAAATCCAGGTTTGTATCAGCCAGCCTCATTATGCTTTTTCAGGAAAAATCTCCTTTACCACAGTATAAGTTAACAGTGACGTGCACCTGCCACAGGTTTTCAGACTTGGCAGAAATTTAGGAATCAATTTGGAAGTAGGTGAGTATGTTGAAGTTTACCAATATAAGCACGTTTTGGTAATTGCCTTAAAATAATCGGGCTGATTTTGGCTTTGCGTTTTATGTTAGTCTTTATAGAACACCTTTGTGTCTGACAACGGCAGAAACATGATGGTGAGATCGGGACCCAGGCTTGGGTCAGTCACCTAGTGAGAAGGTGTTAGGAGTAGAAGAGAACTCCCTGTTTTCGGTGCTGACTTTCCTTTCATATCCCTTTCCGCAATAGAAAAGTGAAAAGCGGGCCTGGTTGGTTGATTCTTTGATCGCACTGGCGTGTATTAGTCTCAGACTGGGTAGGAACATTGTGCTCGTTAAGTTTTTAAAACAAGGCGCTCTAATCTCATCCGCACATCTTAGAATGTGGGCAGCTAATAGATACTGGGAACATGCGCTTCCTTAGGGGAAGAAGAAATCAAAATTTCCTTTCCAATCCATTTCCTGACCGATTTTTCTTGGAAGGTGGCGACTGACCAAGCTTCGGCAGGGTGAGTGTTCCTCTGTCCTTCGCCACCCACGTGACAGTGTGATTCCAAACCCTGGAGCTAAGCACTCTAAAACTACAGCTGCAGGGTTAGGGCCGGGATCTAATTTGCATAGCCGATCGTTCTTAGCTTCTACTTTCAAAACCGGTGGAAACCTCTTAGACTCGAGGAATTCCAGCCTTTGGAAGGGCACAGCCAGAATCTATTCCCTGCAGGAGTGCGAGAGACCCTCACGAGGTGCCCTGCTGGATCTTAATCGACCTTTCCTGCTGGCTAATTAAGCATCGCTTTTACTCAGCAACTGGGGACTGTGTAATTATCAGCCTGGGTTGCCCTGAATAATTGAAACAAGCAGAATGTTGAAGATGGGTATTTCTTCTTCTTCTTCTTCTTCTTCTTCTTCTTCTTCTTCTTCTTCTTCTTCTTCTTCTTCTTCTTCTTCTTCTTTCCCGTAAAAGTGGAAATATCTAATTCTTGGTAGGCTGTGAAGTATTGAAATTAAACTCTTGCACAGCATTACTTCATTAGTAGATAAGTTTAGGCTTAGTTATGCACATGGAGGCTTAGTTAACGATCCATAGATTTTTCTTTATTTTCATGAGTTTGCCTTTGTGTTATCATAAGGATCATATAAAGAATAAAAGTGGAATTTTAAATTCTATTACAAAGAGAGAGACGCCCAGAATATAATAGGGAATGTAGCTGTCCTGTTGATGTAAAATATGTGATATGGAATGTAAATATAATTTTGTTGACTTGTATAGACAAATATACATATATTTTCATATTTATATCACAGCATTGGCCAGATCGAAGTTTCAACATTAAATGGGCAGCGAAAAGACAATTTGTGGTCACACTACTGTCAATTTCATATTATGTCAATTTTGTATTTCTTCTTTTTAAAAGAAAGTATTTTGTGTGTGTGCATATTTTGCTTGCATACATGTCTGTAGATCACTTGCTTGCCTGGTGCTCACAGCAGTCAGAAGAAGGCACCGGGTCCTCTGGCCCTGGAGTTACAGACAGTTGTGAGCTGTTATGTGGATGCTGGGAACCAAACCTGGGTCTTCTGGAAGGACAGCCAGTGCTCTCAATCTACAAGCCATCTCTCCAGCCCCTCTCGTATTTCTCCTTAATCTTATTTTGAAACACACACACACACACACACACACACACACACACACACACACACACACACACACACATACACTCCTCACCCCTCATGGGATAAAGAAGGCTTCCAAAGAGCATTCCATATGGTTTGTGGGTTCAACACTTGAAAATAATCAGCAGGCGCTTTGGGAAACATCTGTAAGTTGATGGGGGCTTTTCTGCTCATGGATTTGTTTCTAGAAAGATGACACTTTATTTAGAATTCCATAATTATCAGATCCCTGAGGAAATGAGAACCCAGAGATTAGATACCACACAGGAAAATGGAGAGAGGAAGTTTTCCTCTCACCCGCTGTTGGAGATTGCTGTCCTCCCACATCTTCAATCTCAAGGTTGCTCATGGAATCCTGGTTCTCCTGAATCTTCTTCAGTCACATGTCGCTTCTGTTGACCTGCTCGTGGCTGGCCGATATTGGACGCGTGTATGTGTTGATACCAATTGCCTTCAAAATACTGATGATTTGCAAAAATGCCAGCCACATTTACTGACGTGGTATGGCAGTTGTATCTACCCCCCTCAAAAGTAAGATGTGAAGAGGAATTTCAAAAACCTTCATCTCTGAGAGTTAATTATACATGAGAAATCCTAGAGCCACAGAAGGATTACTGGAGGTCATTTTCAAATGTTTCATCTTTAGTCACAGTGAAGCTGTAATGCTTTAGGGATTTGGTAAACTGGTGCGTGTGCATATGTGTGTTATGATTTATATGTATTCACACATATCCCCACTCTATTGTTTTGTAGCTTAGGTTCTTTTAACTCTTCAATAGTTCACTGATTGGGAATAAAAAGAGTGAAGGAAAGTAAAAATTGGCCCTTCCTGTGAGTCTTGGTAACCTCTCAGGCCTTGGCTCTGGTTTTTAATGGCTGGTTCAGAACTCAGTGGTATTTGCCATGGTTATGGAGTTGCTTGAATTGGAGTGCCAAACTCTATCACTGCTGGTGGGGTATGCTGTTTTCCACCTGTCTGTGGTCCAGGATGACTGACCACAGAAAATGATAGTTATGTTGAATCAGCAGAGTCCCCGACAAGCTCATCAGTACATCAGTATCAATATCATAGCGCTTACCAACAACAATGGAATAAGATTTCTGGGTCTACAGCTACATTATTGTGCTTGAAAGTGTGTCGAGGAAGGATAGCATTCTTCATGGGTGACAAAGCAAATGTGGGTGGAGTTTCTACCATGCCGGGGAAGGGAAGCCCTGTTGAGGTAAACTGCCTTCTCTCTTCCTAAAGATTAACAGCTTCCACATTCCGAGGCCAGGCTCTTATTGAGCGCTTTACAGCATGCTTGGAGGAAAAGTTGGCAAAGGCTCCTCTCCGCTTTATAGTTGTGGTCACTGCAGGATTAGCTCCAGATGTGAGACACCTGGGATAAAACAGCCATGATCTACGTTCAGAAACTTGATGACGTACCTACGCATTTGGAGAAACAGTAGGGCTTTTGCTCGGTGTTTGATCAAGCGGAGGCCATCTGCCAGCAATAATACTCTGAGAGCGAAGGATGGGATGAAGAGACAGAAGATTTTTATCACTGGGATGCAGATTAATCCTCTCTTGAGGGCCCTTTTTGGGACTCGTCACTCAAATGCTCACTGTTGGAAGTGAAGGCCAGAGCCAATGGAAACAAACATGGTGTATTGTTTCATTCTGTGAAACTTAATAATATCCAAGGAGTTCCAACAGGAGACAAGTGGATTTATAAGACGGTTAAATGGAAAAAAAATAAAGAAATAACTTTGTGTAACAGGTTTATGGCCCCAAATCCACAAAACCCAGGACATTTATAATATAGACAGAAAACATATCTGTAACAGGTTTCATTGTGGGTGGCTAGCCCTTTGCTCTGCATGAAACAGGAATACACTATTCCCCCCAAAAAAATCTCATAAAAAGAATTCTGATTTTCTTCGGTAATTTTAGATTTTGATTTTTGCTTGAATTTAGTTTGAAAATCAGATTAAACCTGACAATGTCTATGATTCTGATCTCTTTGAAGAAACATGAGTTAGTCGGGTAAAACTCTTGAGACCAAGCAGGGATTTAGAGTAGCATACTGTAAACATAATTACCATTAAGTGCACAATTTTAATTTACTTATGTTGGTTGTTGGGTTTATAAACTCCCCAAGCAAAACACATTCTAATGAAGGGGATTTTGTTTTGTTTTAATCAAGAAAACTAATGTCTAATGTGCTATTTGCACATTTGTGTCTTCACAAGTTTAAAGATTTGCTTGTATCTCTCTGCCCTTAATATCTGTCTGTCTCTCTGTCTCTCTGTGTCTGTCTGTCTGTCTCTCTCTCTTTATCTCTCTCCCTCGTGTATATGTGTGTGTGTGTGTGTGTGTTTGTGTGTGTGTGTGTGTGTGTGTGTGTGTGTGTGTGTGTGTGTGTGTGTGTGTATATGTTTTCTGTGCGTATATCTGTATACCACTTTGGTGCAAAGGCCAGAAGAGGGCATCAGATGCCCTGGAACTGGAGTTACAGAAGATTGTGAGCTGTCATGTGGGTGCTGGGAATTGAACCTGGGTCCTCTGGAAGAGCAGCCAGTGTTCTTGAGCACTGGGCCATCTCTTGCAGTTCCTAATTCTGCTATTTATCCTGGAGTTTGAGTGCCAGTGAAGAAAAACACAGGTACAAGATGCTTGTAGGATCTGTTTAAGTTTAAATGGCTCTCAAAGGCTCACAAGTCATAGAAGTGACTTGAACACATCTTGAACAACGCATCTGTTTGTTAGCTGGATGTGATGGCCTGTTCCTGTAATTCCAGCTCTCTGGGGCCAAGGCACAGGATTGTCATGAGTTTGAGGCCAACTTGAGCTGTAGAGTGAAACTCTCTAAATAAACAAATAAACTAATAAAATCCAAAACAAATGCACCCACCACTGGAAACAAAAGAGAACATCTTCCTTTGTCATTCCCAGTCTTCCTTTCTGCTCAGGGATGGAGCAGTGACCTGGTGCGATGGATTAATCAGGAAAAGTGCTTTGCCCAAGCCTGACAGTCTTAACTATATGGGCTCCATCCCAGACAGTTAAAGGAAAGCGCTGACTCAAATACTGTCTTGTGGCCTCTACATGGCACGTGACGAAACACTCACACAAAGTACATACACAAATAAATAACCGTAATTCCGAGAAAATTTGAAAGGAAGGTGGAAGGTGGAAGGTGGTCTGGGACTGTAGC